CGGTCTGTGAGCCAATTAAGAAAGTTGCGAGTTGGATTTATGAATACTGACTAATGGTCTCATCCATTCTAAGGGAAGGTGAGAACTTAGTCTTCTGCCCTTTTGGATTGTGTTTTCTGGTTGATAGATGGAGACCAGATATATTTCAGAGAATGGTGTCCAAATTTAGATTATGCCCTGTGTAGTATCTCTACCTTCCCCTGTAGCTCAGTGGCACACTGTCACCCGGAGGTGGGGGGGGGTATATGCTACACGGGCATTTTTTGCATGGTGTTAAGACTAGTTAAAGAATTTTAAGCCTTGCTATTTGCAGTCAGTTGTACTAAAATTATCCCTTCGATTACTTCATGAATTCATGTACTTTCATGTGTCTCTCTCTCCCTCTCTCTCTCTCTCTCTCTCTCTCTCTCTCACACACACACACACCCACACACACACACACACACACACACACAGAGGAAATGGCTATTTTGAGTTCTGTGGGGACTATTCCATGTTGAAAGTCTTCGTTGTGCTAAACGTTATCAACCCGCCCCCTGGTCTCCCTCTGAGACGATGTCATTTCCTGGCTAAGTGAAGGCCACATGTCTGTCTGCTTGTTTAGGAAATCAGTGACCATGTGGAGGGCCAGGGTGTGGGTGGGGCAGGTTTGGACTTGCTGGATCAGGTCGGAATGTGAACCACCCCATCGGTATCACAGTTCAGGGACCACAGGGAGGGAACAGGACGACAAACACGCAGAGCCCTCTAAGAGAAGAAAGGATGAACATGTCTACATTGCACTCCACATCCCTGATTCTTGTGTTCTGCCAAGATTTCTAGTGGGGGTATTCTTCCTCACTGTTATGATGCTGTGGGGTGCAAAGCCAGTGGCTGAATGAGCAGAGGAAGTTTAAGGGCTAGTTAGTAACGGCCTTTAAAAGAAAAACGCAATTCTCTGAAGCAAAAGTCACCCTAATTTGGCGTGTTGATTCTGCAATATGGAAACTTTGAAATGGCATGCTGGTTATGTCATATGGCTCCTGTGCACCCTGCCCTGTGTGATAGCTGGCAGACTTGGCAGACCTGTCCATGCTCCATGTAAACCTGGGCCCTTCCAAGACAGTCTGTGGTCACAGACATCAGTGCAGGGGCATGCAGAAGAAATGAGAGAGAGGCGTCTGGTTTTAGTGAGAATGATTTCATTTTCACAGGTGCCAGAGGTTTAGAATCTCCTTTGGGTTCTTGGTTCTTAAGTTAAAAAAAAAATCTCAAACAGTTCCCCATGCATTGGAAAACCACAACAACAAAAATTCCTTCACAGGACTCCTTCCCCCTCGGGAGCCAGTGGGCCTGTGCTACAGAGGATAACTTCCAAACCTCTCCTTCTCCACCAGGGTTCTGAGCTCCAAGGGAGGAGGTGCAGCGGTGGTGCCTAGAAGTGATATGCAAACTACCCAGTGTGCCAGCCCCAGCCCCCTTCCCACCCCAGTCTCGAGTCGCAGGCAGGGGACCCAGTGATGAATGATGGATGATAAACCTATGTGTGGAGTTTTTAACCTGTTTTCTCTTTGTAGGATTTCATGGTGCTTAAAAAAAAAAAAAGGCATTTTACAGATAATGTGTGTTGGGGGGATTTCATAATGTTCTTAGGAAAAGTACAAAAGCAAATTGGCTTGTGTCATTTCAATAAGCTGTGCTGCTATTGTCTTTATTTGATGATGTATTTTTTTTTTTTAATGATGGAGAAAATTGCAACAAAGACCTTCTGGAAGATCCAATCTCATGCTTCTCTTGTGTTCCTTTCTCTCATTGGTGCTGTGCGTGGTTCACAATAGCTGGGCGGGGAGCTCTGCCCAGGACAGGTGTGCTGGCCAGACAGCACAGGTGAGGCCCCGGTCCTAGCTTGAACTCACTCCTTACATGCAGTTATCAGCAGAGACTCACTGGAAGGAGGAGGAGCCCCAACTCCCCTAGAAGAGACATCTTCAATAACCCAGTATTGTCGCTGCACATTTACTTTAATATCCTTATTTGTCCTTGAATTTGATTGGATGTTGCTGGGGGTGGACATCATGATAAATCACATGTTCTAGGTGAAAAACTGGACATTGTGACAGGAACAGCTGCTTGTGTGCTGATCTTACTTTCTAGTTGTGTTTGATTTTGCTATTGCTATGTCTGTTCGTCAGCCACAAGCTTATTAATAATGGGCAGAGATAAAACAGCTGCCACTTTTGAGCACCTGTTGTGTATGAGGTACTCTGCTAGGCAGGTCACAGACATCTCGTTTAGCCTTCCCAATGAAAGAACACATGGAGTACCTTCATCGTGTGGGTAAAGACTTTGAGACTCAGAGAATGAGAAACCTTTATCCAACTCAAGTTTCAAATCCGAGTCTCACTGGGTCGTGGAGTTCACGAGACATTTGCTTTGATTACTTCTCCAGCAAAGATGATGGGGTTCTTTCAGACCTGTCCTCATCGTCTCTCCCCTCCAATTTGTACCATGATGT